TTAAATCTACAATTTCACATAAATCAGTTGCTTTGAAAATGTTCTAGGCTTCTCCTATTGTTTTTTTTTCACTTAAAAATAATCAGAAACAGGTCTAAATAATAGGATTTATACCTAAATAAAGCTCTCAGCTCTTGAAATTTTCCATAGATCTATTATTTAATGGGTGTCGTTGTTTGGTAGCTAAAGAAAGACAATAGATATCTTTCTCTAGGGGATAAAATTGGTTCTACAAAGCTTCCTGAAAGCCAGGGATGACAGTCCCATATCTAGGTAGATAGCAGCCAGATGCAATGTTATGACAGAAGACTGATCCCTGTAAGTGAAAGACAGATGAATGGATGGACAGATGCATGGGGAGGAAGGGGGGGTAATTGCTCCACTCAGGAGCCAGTCGGACCTAAAGAGGCAGACATGTAGACCAGATACAACATATGATCCCATCTGTCTTTATTTAGTCTTAATTATATGCAATCTTTTCTTTGGAGGTCAGAAAAGATTTTCTTCTAAAATCTGTTTGGCTGTAACTCAAAATAACTGACAGAGAGTAAGGGCAGATAGGTTTTTATGACTGCCACTCAGGTGACAGACAGACAGACAGACAGACTGACTGACGGTCGGATCGGTGACATCATCCTGGAAGCAATCTCTGAGGCCGCATCACGTCACTTCATACCGTGACAACTGGACGGAGACAGATATGCCCGAGTGGCAGACGTAGGCAAATATAAAACTGCAAAAGTTGTCCTTGTGCCAGTCATTGATACCCCAACAATGACACCTTTTTTTCACTGATAGGCCTATGCCTCTTTTTCTCACTCTGCATCTTGTTTCAAGTTTAAACCTTGACTCGGACTCAGTTAAAACCATGTTTAAATCAATCAACTAGAATATTTCTCAAAAACTCCAGAAGCCAACCCAACATTTCTGTTTTGGTTTTCAGATTAGGCACAGTTATATCAAAATACGGAGGGTTAAAGGAGACAAAATTAAATATGTAAAAAACTGTTCATTAGATTGATCCATTTATCATTAAATGTCCCATTAAATAAATAAATGAAAAAAACTGCATATTACTGAAAATAAACAGATGACATAAAAAAACAACAATAATTTGCTGTAATAAAGAGGAAAGTGAGTGGTTAATTCAGCTGGTTAACTAGCAGGCTGAAGGAAACTGTATGTAGCACCACAGAGAAGAATTATGTTTCAGTATATTTATTTTATCAATATTTATTTGTTTTTTAAAATTCATTTAAGGACAGGAAAAGGAAAAAAAATATTAAACTTTTTCTAGGAATAAAATAAACTAGATAAGATAATTAGCAGTTAGATGATTTCAATGAGACTAACCGGCACATCAGTTAAGTTGCCCTCTCTTTATTTTTCTTTTTAACCATAGATTGCATATAGCTAATTATAAACAGATAACATAAAAGACAATGCTTTGCACTTTACTGAAAAGGTTGGGAAGTAAGTTGCTGATTAACTTGTAGGTAACTTGCATAATAAATTAGATCCATTTTACCAAATGATATGCAATAAGTCATATTTAATCAGACTGAAATAAAAAAAAAAAAAAAAGTATTTCTAGTAATGATTTGGTTTAGTCACCTAAAGGCTAACTGAAATTTAAATTACTACTATATTGTTAAAGACGCTCATTGTAATTATAAG